ACATACAAGGTTTACTTTCTTTCCTAGCTTTCAAACTGCCAGAATACACATGTACTTTTACTTTCTTAGGAGAAAATGTGTCATTTGATTTCTTTCCAGTTTATCTACTCGTGCCAGCAACTAAAATGCTTAAAGAACCCAAAATGAATTACTACCCAGAAACGGCGGTCAAAGTTCCAAATTTTGATCAATAAAATTGCTCCTCTACTCACAAATTAATCTTTCACCAGTAAAGTTGCACATTTTCGGGGTTATGAGCACACCTGCACTGTTAAGCATTTATTTTACTTGTTTAAGCAATCTTCAGAAGTATATAAATATTTATAAAAGAGAGCCTACTATTTTTATCCATCTATAATTTTTTTGAGCAAAATCTTGTTAAGTCTTTTATAACTCCTAAGCATCCTGAAGCAAGGTTTATATCCTCAACAGCCAATGTCCTGCCAATACCAGCCCAATGCTTAGCACCTAGTCACAGCACAAAAGTGTTCACCCAATTACACTGGATCTCACTGCTTTGCCTCTTTCTGATCCAAAATTTTGGAAGGGACTAATTTTCCATTTGTATTTGCATCACTAATTAAAAAAAACTTTGCAGAGTACATTAATAGACTAAGTAAAAAGACATATTCGGTTACTAAATGTTTTTTCAAGCACTTGGGAAAGCAGTATCTATACTTAATTTAATGCTTTATTCGTTAATAAACCACAATGTCACCCAAGACTGCAACCAGCTCACATTTGGTTCAGTGACTGTATCTGCAAAGCGTGTCGTTTTTCCCCTTATCTACCCTCTTCTCTCTAAAAATTAGTCCACGCTGGTGATATTTGACTGCAGTCTGTGATCTGTGTCAAGTAACTACTTATTTCTTTTGTTTGTATCATCAGCCTGAGAAACTGAGGAAAGCTACTAAACCAGAAGTGGGAAAGTGTGAAATATGCTTAAAATATGGGCCATGGTATATTTGGAGATTTAATTTTCTTATTTTCCCCCTTCTCATCCTTCTTCTTTTTCCTCTTTCTCTCCTTTCTCCTTCTTCTTGCTATCAGCAGATCAAATTGTTCTTCCCTGTCAAGCCTTCCTCTATGCAGAAGATCTGAAATTTGCTAAAATAGATCTCTGAGTGTAGTTATAAAGGGTAGAAGATCAGAGAGGAACACCATTCAGCTTTGTTGTAGGATTTCCTTTTCATTTCCAAGCCACTTGACTGAGATGCCCCAGGAGGACAGCATGGCAAGATAGATTGAAATGTGAAGGTTATTCCTTCAGTCAGTCTCCAAGTCTATACACACATTTTTATAACAATATACCATGTGGCCTAGGTTAGTTATTTCCCCATTCTGCTTGTGGAAGGCCAGCCAAACCAATAAAGCTTACTGAATTTGCATGATCCTACATTGAGCAATCGGCACTCTCTCTCCTTTCTTTCCTGCCTTCCCCTCCACATCCTCTTCTCTCTCTTCTTCTCTCCCTTTCTCTCTCCCTTACCCTCTCATACCAATCAACCTTCTTCTTTCCCCAGCCAACTCTAAACTCCGGTCTAAATTCTCAGCTTACCATTTAAGGGCCAGGAACAGCCTTAAGATTTCTCCTTCAGCAAAAACTAACATTCAGATGTGCCCGCTTCTCCCTCCACTTCTTATACAGACTCAAACGCTCAGCAGGAAGCGGGAGGTTGGCTTGTGCTCTGCCCTTGCCAGGAAGCACGAAGCTCTCTTGCCTCACACCCTTCTGCAGGGTGGCTGAAATCCTCTATCAGGCAAGAAGAAGCCGAGTCCTCCAAAGGAAATCCCCTGAAACTTTACTTTGTATATTTAGCTCTAAAAGAACTTCGCTCATCTTGGAAAAGAAGTTACCTAAAAATGCCATATGTTTTTAAAAAGCAAGTATGAGGAAAAATAAGTCTAGTACAAAAAAAAATCACAAATGATATTCAATACTGAAAGCAATATGATCAGACAGATTGTATATGTGTGTATTTTTTTTAAAAATTTCTAACCAAAGCTCTACTATGTGTAAGATTCTTCTCCCTAATAATACATTGTCATATTTTCCAACGCACTTGAGGTCTGATAAATTCAACAGGACTCCTTACATTTTTTTTAAGGCTGTGAGAGTTCCAAGAGGGAAGCAAAAAGAATGGACAGTCATTTGAATCTCTGAGTGACAGGCTGGGCTGGTTCCCTGTATACATTAATAAATTAGAATTTTAATTGCGTCTCTGTCTGCAGGAGATGCCCTAGTACTTTAATATGTACCAACAATTGGCTATGTTATGGAATCTGCAATGTGGCCTCCACTGCTGACCTCTGAAGCACAATTCCCAGTCTGACTACGGAAACTGTTCGGTTTGATCCTCTCAACTTATTTGAATCCTGACAAATAAGCTCACAGCTGAAAGGTCACTACAGTCACATTTCATCCTCCAGTGCTGTTCTTAAGACATCTGCACAACAAAGCACTTCTTACAGCACCTGACACAGGCTCCTCCATGGTACTCTACCTCATTAAAACTGTACCCTGTGCTCACTCTTTACCAGGAAGGTGGCCTGCTGATGGTTGACCAAACAACAGTTTTGGGAGGTGTCTGTAAACAACATATCCTATCATCCAACTTCTAATCAAATGTCACTACAGTGCTGAACTTTCTCTGTAACAGGGATGGGGAGAGTATCTCCCTAGGAGATTCATAAATACTAGAAATGGTTGTCCAACCCACTTTGATCTTTGCAGAATGATCTGGAAAATAGTATTAGTTCATCCCAACCCATGAGAAGCCAACAGAAGTTAGAATTTAGGTTGACCTCGTGATCAACTTAGTTGGTACCAAGTGCCACTCATCTGGTATTAGATTCTATTCCAAAACGTTCAGGGAAAGAGACACTGCAGCTCTACCACTTGAGCCATGCTTCTACTTCCAGCTTTTTGGTGGTTGGTTGGAGATAGAAGTCTTGAGGAATATTTTGTGCCTGGGCTGGTTTCAGACTGGGATCATTAGCTCTCAGCTTTCTGAGTAGATAGAATTATAGGTGTGAGCCATGGCTCCTGGCTGAATTATTTTCTGCCAGTCCTGGGACTTGAACTCAGGGTCTGGGCACTGTCCCTGAGCTTCTTTTGCTGAAGGCTAGCACTCTACCACTTGAGCCACAGTGCCACTTCCGGTTTTTTCTGTGTATGTGGTACTGAGGAATCGAACCCAGGGCTTTATGCATGCTAGGCAAGCACCCTACCACTAATCCATATTCCCAGCCCCTGAAAGTATTCTTAACTATTACCTGCAAGTGTCCTATCTTGAATGTGAGCATACATATGCATATAACCCTGAATCAAGTTTCCTTGAGATTCCTATTGCAATTTTCTTTTCAAATTCAAAAATCCAAATTAGGTTTTATTGGGTTTAGAGGGCACTGAGGTCTGTACTCAGGGCTTCATGATTAACAGGCACTCTACCACTTGAGCCACACCTCTAGCCTTCAAATTAGCTTTTTCAACTCTACTGACCCCTTGGCCTTAATGAGTCTGAAATAAGAAGTTGCTAAAGCTATTTTTAATTATCTTTACATAAATAAATATGGCTCCTCATTTTAAATAAATGATTCAGTAACATTCTATGAACATCCACTGAAGAAGGGTTATGTCTTACTAGCATTACTAGAATGACTAGAATACTAGTATTGTAATTACTAATAGTAATGACTAGAACATGGATGTCAATGCTCAACACAGCTCACATTTTGGGCTGCTAGATCCTGCTGCATGCTGGAGGAGTTTCCTGTATACTACTGAGCAGCATCTGTGGTCCTACTGTACCCATGAACAGTTACTAACCTCTCGGCCCCTAAATTTGGCTCTGAACATTTTTTTTAATGTAGAAAAGAGAACATGTACACCATGGTGGAAGTATAAATTAGTATAGCCACTAGGGACAGTAACATGGAAGACCCTTTAAAATCTAAAACAACGGCCAGGCATCAGTAGCTTATATTAGTAAAGGTTGGGGATCATGATTAGAAGCCAGCCTGAAGAGGAAAGTCCATGAGATTCTTATGTGGAATTAACCATCAAAAAGCCTGAAGTAGAGTTGTGGCTTAAGCGGCAGTGTGCTAGCCTTGAGCATAAAAGCTCAGGGGCAGTGCCTAAACCCAGAGTGCAAATCACAGCACTGATGTATGTGCTTGCACATGTGTGTACACACACACACACACACATGCACGTGCATACACACACACATGCACACGTGTACACACACACACACCATACAAATCTAAACTGCCAAATAATCCAGCTATCTTACTCCTGGGTATATATTCCAAAGCAAATACATTTTTTGTGGGAGATACCTTCATAGCCAGATTTCTGTAGTAATACAAGATGGGAAAAGTAGGGATGGAAGGATGGAAGGAAGGAAGAAAGGGAGGAAGGAAGGATGGAAGGGAAGAAGGGAGGGAGGGTGGAAGGAGGGAGGGGGAAGGAGGGAGGGAGGGAAGGAAGGAGGGATATGCCTGATACATGCTGTATACACATATAAAATGATCATATGAAATCTCATTATGGCAGAGAATTAATATGTTAATAGAAAACGTCTCTTGAAACTGCTCAATGGTCCTCTGGGAGTCAGAACTGTCTCCCCTTGAGCACAATGGCACTAAAGTCCCTGTGTGTGCCTCCATGCCTAGTCTCACCATGAGAAGGCACAACATAAAGTCCTATGAACTTTTTCCTTTGGTAATCTACACTGTGTATTAAGCAATCCAGTCCTTGCAACTCTTCATCCTTCTGTTATGACTCATGATTAGTCAATCATCTTATTCCCAACAATAAGCCTTTTGGTCAAATAGATATTTTCCCCCAAAATGTCATGCTCTGCTGATGAAATCAAAATGCATGGTTGCAGGAGATTTTGTTCTACAATTGGCAATTCTCCACATAGCCAGCTTTGGAATGGCTAATTGGCTATTGCAAGGGGTCTAATGGCCATTGCTAGAAGAGAAAATTGTACCTGAAGAGCTGGCTGTTTGTCATTCCTCTTGGGAGATTTTAATCCACTAACTTGCTGCTGCTGCTGCTGCTGCTGCTGTTGTTGTTGCTGCTGCTGTTGTTGTTGTTGCTGCTGCTGCTGCTGCTGCTGCTGCTGAAGGAGGAGCTGCCTGGCCACCTGCAAGGCCTGGAGGAAAGATGGAAGGAAACAATGCCATTACCACACAGGACTGGGGGACTCCCTCACTGGAAAAAAATCCAGGAAGTACAAACTCCAGCCCTGACAGACCCATTTCCAAGCAAAGGAAACAGAAAACAAACCTTCCCACCAGACTAAGTTGTAAAACCCAAATTTGTTGACATTTCCTTTGATATGGTTAATTTGACCCATAGATCCTTTCACACAGTAGGCCACGGTAAGCAGACACTATGTTTCTAGCAGGAACTTGCCATAAACTTAGAAGTAGGAATGAGTTGGTATTTTGAGTTTGGAAGGCAGGAGTGACCTGGCCAAATTCAGAGAAAATGATGGACCCTTAGGAGAGGGGGGTACCTTTGTTCTCTCTCAATTTCTTCTTGGGGCAACTTGGAGGTTCATGTTGAAAGTAATAGTTTCACCTCATCTGAGTCCTCATGAAGAGGAAAAGCTAAGCAGTGAGGCAAGTCACTGTAAATGCAGTCAATGGCCAAGGCAGAACACAGCAGGAGAGGCATACTTGGAAACATAAAAATCAACGCTGAGCCAATCTGAAAACAAAACTGCTTACGTCTAATCAACCCCTTCCAGCAGACAAAATAGAACGCTTTTCTTTACAGACAGATATTAGAGAGGGGATATGACCTGGGGATATGGCAAAAGAGAAAGAAGTTCTACAAAGTGCTAACTATATGATGACCAATCTTTTTCAGGAGTTCAAGAAGAAAAATAAAGGTGTGTTATCAATACAGATGATGTCCTCAGCCCAACAATTAAAGACAAGAATAACGCCAGGGCACCCCTTTTCAAAAGCGACATCCTGAACAGCAATAGAAAACTTAAGTTGTGCCAATACAGTGTGAAAAATTCACCTGCAAAGTTAGGTTTCTCTTCAGTTCAGCTGAGAACCCAGAAGGTATACTACTGGGAAGAGATGCTGAGACTATGCACTAGCTGGTGTCTACAGAGTACTGAGACAACGTGAGATTTCTTAGACACCTAATGGTTTCTATCTAAAAACCAGGCATTTGTGTCTCAAAGGAGGGCACACAGATGTGGTCAATGAATCAAAAGAGTGCAATACCACAGGTTTCAAATGAGCACAAAGTACTGACCATGGCCATGTGGAGGTAGAGAAAGGTCAGGTGGCCAGGAGGGCCCTGTGAATAGAACTAGGGAGAAAAGAGTAGGGTGGTCATGGTAAGGGCAGGCTAGAGTAGGGAAAATGAAGCATGGTAAACAGCTGCCAGGAATTAAAAAACAAAACAACAACAACAAAAACCTAAAGCTTAACACAAATACAGGAGATATTCATCCATCTATTTCCCTTAAGATTAAGGGACCAAAAGTTATTTTAGGAGAAAATGATGCAGGACAAATTAGGGAAAATGAGGCCTGGTGAAGGCAACTCAGAAACAAAGTACTCAGAAACATTTTTGCTTCTAAGAAACACAAGGAGGACTTCAATAATTAACATCTATTTGGAGACAGGACGCATCCCTTCCTGAGAGAAATGCCCCACCACCCCCCAAAAAAATTGTGGACCCAAAACATAAACAATCAGGATGGTAAATAAGAGCCAGAAGACATAACAACACCAGTTAAGAGCAAGACCCCCATCTTGGCATAATTTTTAAGTCAGACCCCCCCCCGCCTTTATCATGTAACACCCCTCATACGTCTGTGTGTCTGTCTCCCTTTGAGAGCAACCATACTCTGCCAGAGTGTGCCCTGGTCTTTCTGCTCCTCTGTTTGTCTGCTTGCCTGCTGCCTTCCCTACTCAATAAAGCTCTGCCAAGTTTTCTTGCCATGATGACTTGTCCAGAAATTCTCATTCTGTGATCAAAGTCGAAGACCCTAAGTGAAGAGTCCCAACTTTTAGAGGGGAAACTTCACCAACCTTCACCTGCGTCCAGTGACCGTGGGATTTGTGCTTAGGAGCAGACACCTAGCTACACGGACTGAACTGCTCCTCCTGAGGACAGCCCACTAAACAAGCCCCTAAGTAGACTGAAAACGATTGCTTTTTTGTTGTTGTCGTTCAGTGGTACCAGGGCATTATCCTCAGGTCATACACTTCTAGGCAGGTGCTCTATCACCTGAGCTCAACCTCCAGTCCTCTTTTTTTAAATTTGTTTTAATTATTTAGAGTACTGCACTTTCTCCAGGGGGCAGCCCGGACTGCAATCCTCCTATGAACACATCCTGTGGAGCTGGGATTACAGGTGCACACAATTATACCTGGTCTAAATCTCCATAAGGTTGAAAGGCACCTCTGTGTCTAAGAAGCAGAAAGGAGAGCAAAGATAGCTTCCCGCCCGGCTGCATCTGCTCCTCCGGTCCCAAGGAAGCCTCCTGCTCTTGGACTCACCCCAACTAGCCCTTATGATGCAGAGAGCAGGCTAGCTCCTCTGGGAAGGGAGAGGCTCATTTGACCAAGCCTGCCTGGAAGGGCGGCTGTCTGAGAGGGGCGGCTGGAAGGCAAGGCGCCTGGGAGGGCTGCCTGAGACTCCAGCCGGCTGTCTCACTGGAGGATTCACCATCGCTGGACTCCGGGTTTCCTTGTCTCCTTGGAGACGCTCGGTACATGCGTAGGTGGAAAAGTGGGCAGAGGGAAGATTTCATTTATATCATCTAAGAAAAATAGTCCCCCATGCAAGGTGCCCGCAGGAGCAAACGCCTCTCCTACTATGCATGCTCCCTTAACTAGTTCACAAGGAGCCTTCCAGTTTCTTCTCTATTGTGAGGAGGGCTGTCACAGAGCTCGGGGTAAGTGACTGATCAGCAAAAGAGGCTCCAGCTGGGATCTGCAAGGCAGACAGTGGGACTGTGGCTGACAGGGAGAAAGATAGTACTGAGAGAAACATGGTAGAGAAGACAAGGGTTACACACGCACGCGCGCGCACGCACACACACACACACGTGCTAGTACTGGGGCTTCAACTCAGAGCCTAATCCTCTCACTTGGCTCTTTTGCTCAAAGCTGGGGTTTTACCACTTGGGCCACACCTCTACTTCCAGCTTTTTACTGGTTAATTGGCAGTAAGAGTGTCTCAGATTTGTGGGCCTGGCCTGGCTTTGAACCACAATCCTCAGCTCTCAGTCAGTTGAGTTAGGATTGCAGGTGTGAGCCACTAGCACCTAGCGTGGTTACATTCATTTAATACTAAACCAGAGCAAGCAAAGAAGAACCAAGTGGGGATGACTCCACATAATAATCGTGGCTTCACCAGGAACAGGGAGTTGTTAAATAAGCTGGTCTCAGAGAAGCCACACATTCAACCTCCTATTTCTGTCAAAGGGAAGATATTAAGAATGACATCCACACCCACAATTATTTTTACACAAGCATGCACTTATAACTGTACCTCAGTAGAAGACAGTAGTGAACCAAGACCTAATGTTTGTTTTCAACCTGTCCTTCCTGAGCTGGCACTTATACACTTCAAAAGACAGTGTCTGGAATCTCAGATGTGCTGTGCTGGTTTAAGAAAAATGTAACTTGTGAATGTGTCTTTTTCATTCGCCTCACAGAATGGGTTTACTTGTATGCTCACTTGATCAAGCCCAGTTCTTTCCCATCTTTCCCATGAAGCCCCACTGCAGAGAAGAATGAACAGTAGAAACCCACAGGAGCGGGTAGAGGAACTTACATGAATGAACACACAAGACAAAGTCTAGGCAAACTACTGAACAGACCACCACACAGGATATGCATTATGGCTTCTGCAGTTCAGCCCTCAAACACCTACCAACAGGGAAAAGAACCTCAAATAACTCAAAACAGAAATCACTTGGATATGGAACGGTGGCAAACGATCATGCTATCAATGTCTCTACCCTTGCAGGAACATGTGAGCGAAGTTAGGGCAAAGTTAACACTCTCCAATAAGTAAATAAAAATAAACTTATAAAATCATCTTCAGTCTCCGCAAAAATTTAAAACTTAACTGATTAGGATACATAGCAGGCTTCAAAACCAATCTCTAAAGGGCATTTTTCTCACATCCCAGTACACTCTAGCCTTTGAATTGTCACAGAAATAAGGAGAAGACAATAAGATGGCAGCTTCTTGTGTCTCATACAAATCTCTGCCATCTACATTGATAGAAAGTAAAAAAAAAAAATACTTATTATTATGTTCATGGCTTATGAGTGGGGTATCTCGAACAACTAATGGTACCCCTTAAAATTCTGGGTTCATAGGGCTGCTCAAACATAATTATTTGACAGTCTTCCCTCCACCTCTTGCCAGTATGGAGGTTTGAACTCAGGGCTTCGTTTGCTCATCTAACACATTACTATTTGAGCCACACCACCAGTCTAGATTTTTGCTGTTTATTTTAGAGATGGAGTCTCTTGGACATTTCCTTGCAGGCTGGCTTAGAACCCTGATCCTCTGGATCTCAGTCTCCTGAGTAACTAGGATTAAAACTGTGAGCCACTGTTACCTGTTTTACTCTTCTTTTCTTTTTCTTTTGTTGGTGCTGGTCCTGGGCTTTGAACTTAGGGTGTGAACGCTGTCCCTGAGCTTTTTGTGCTCAAGCCTCTATCACTTGAACCACAGCTCCACTTTCAGATTCTTGTTAGTTTTGTGGAGATAAGAGCCTCATAGGCTATCCTGCTCAGACTGGCTTTGGACCACTATCCTCAGATCTCAGCCTCCTAAGTAGCTAGAATTACAGGTGTGAGCCACTGATGCCTGGCTACTTGAATGTTTTAATGTGTTATATGTATCAAAGTAGATTAAAGTTCTTCATTTCAGACTCCATTGTCTCAACCTCAGACACAGTCTTATCCCCAATACAACCAAGGAGTGAGAAGGGCCTGGGCCTGCTCTTACTTCCCTAGCAGTGTCTCAATCACAACTGCAGAAGTGTCTTAGGATACACTGCTGGAAGATAAAACTGGATACTTTGGATAGAGAATAGTAAGTATGTGGACATCGGACTCTGTACATATTAGAGAGAATAGAGAGGAGAGAAAGAGCA